CTTTTTTAATTTTTGGTTATTATAATGCTTAAGAAACAGCTAAAATTCTATAATTTTTGCTAGGGTTCTAAGTTCAGTATAGTGGTTCCCAAGTCTTCAGCCACATATTGGAGTATGCTTGCTAGTGCTGTTGTTCAGGGTCTTTGGGGTTTTTAGGTCTCAAAGCCATAGGGTATACTCTATACATCGTGTTGTGTGTTATTGCTTTTGGTCTTCGCATTTAGGGCTTGGATCCCCTGCGAAGGGTGTGGACGTAGATTCCAGGGTGTAGTGTTTAGGGAGCAGTCTCCATGGTGTAGGGTTTAGTGCTTCTGAGTTTTCAAGTGTGGGTTTCTTTAGGTTTGAGGCTAAGGGTTTAGTGCATGGTTTGCTTGTGCACAGGCCGGGTGGACTAGTTACGTCTCGCCACTTATGCCTGGTCATGACAGGGCGTTATGATATGAAGAGGGTATTGCTGAGGCCAGTCCGGCCATCATAGTGTAAAAGATAATGATGAATAAGACTGCATTCCTTAGAGGTCCTTATTATGACTGTAGTATAATAGACCAAAAACATGATTCGAGTCATTTCTTCCCGCATGCTGCGCTTTTGCCTCAAGGCTCGAGGGTTTTCGGGCTGAACGGTGGTCTCCCACAAACTTTTGCTGACAGGTGAGTTTTTTTCTAGAGCTTCCAAGTTTTTACTGAAAGGGTTTCAGGTTTCTCAGGAACCAGATACGAAAGAGAGAGGTTCTACATCTGTCGGGGTCTGTGCTGTCGAAGAACCACAGCAAGGAGTACAGATTGCGACGGTAGAGTTTCAGGACCCTATACCCTGACCCCTACACCCTAAACCTAGGGGTTAGAGTTGAAAATTCGGGCTTTTAGATATGCTTGCTCCCAGCCTTGTACAGGACTTGGGCGGACCCTAGAACCTTTCGTGTGTTCTCCTTCTATGTCTTTGATAAGAGTCCTTTACAGGGTGGGTTGCTTATGCTGTAATGTAGACGGACATGACTCAGTGGTTCGACAAGTCAAGTCTACTTCTTTCGTTTTCTCGCCCACCCCCCAAACCCCTGTGCTTCTGTTGTCTGTTTGTCAACGCCCACCTAGGACTAGGGAGGCGTTGCCGAAAGCATGCCGTCTCACCTGTGCTGGTCGCGCACCGACCACACAGACAGTCTGACGAGCTTGGAAAATGGTTGTGTTGAGTGCGCCCTTACCAAACCTTAGTAGCTGAGTGGGTGCCCTTTACCCTTGTTGGGATAATATGACCCACTATAAAACTGGAAGTGTACACTTTTGGGGGGGCTGATGAACTCAGCAACTAAGATTCAGAATAGGGTTTCGGGTTACATTCGAGAAAAAACCCACAGAACCTCGGGACTCGGAGGGTTAGTTTGCAGGCCATGAGCCCTGAAACCCCCAGAGCCCCTAAGTGAGCCCTGAATTTTAGAGCTCTAAGAGATGCTTACGACGCGCTAAGCCCTTAAACAGCAACATCCTAAAACCCACCCAAACCCCAAAACACAAAACCTAAAGCTTAAGGCCCAAATCCTAAAGGCCAAACTTGCGGAAAACTTTAGACGAGTAATCCGGAACCCCCAATAAACCCAAGTCTTTAATTAAACCTACACCCTGAGCACCAAATCTTAAACCCCAAATCCCAAACCTAATCTCCAAACCCCAAGCCCTAAACCCTAAACCCCAGGCCCAAACCCAAACCCCCCCCTAAACCCAGGATGCCCAGCAGTACCCTTATTCCCTTTTTGTAGTCCTAGGTTCCTTATAAAGTTACCCAATACCAAAAAGAGAGGCCTTTTTTTTCTTAGGTTACTGGGTATCCTAGTTACCCAGGGACTCCAATATCCCTTAATTAAGGAATATACCTTAAATCATAGAAGGGATCCTACTATAGTTTAAGGCAAATCTTACATCGCCACGTCTCCTTTGACTTTTGGCTCCAACAGTGCGCGGCTCCCAACAGGCGAGGCCTCATCACAGGGTACAAGGCCCGCTTGGGGCTTTGGGGTTTTAGGGTTTTAGGGTTTTAGCAACTTTAGGATGGGCGTTAGGGAATTTAGGGTTTAGGGTTTAGGATGGGCTTTAGGGCTTTAGGGTTTTCGGTCTATAGTATTCAGCGTTAGTATGGGTTTTGGGGCTTTGGTGCTTGGGGGTGTTGAGGCTTTTAGGGTTCCAGGGCTTAAGGGTTTGGGGGAGGGTTTAGGGTTTTTAGGGTTCGAGTGTCTGGAGTTGTGGGTTTGGCTTGTAGGGTTTAGCCTTCATGTTCTGTCAAACTTGGCCTCGAAATAAACGTGGAGAAAGAAGTATCAACTTGCATGTCAAACGGGTTCACATTACTATATAGTACAGCCCGAAACCCAGCGTCTGGCGCCCGAGGCGCTGCAAGTTTTGCCTGGCGCCGCCCTGAGTGCCACCGAAAGGTGAGGGTTCGGGGGTTTAGAGGTTTAGGATCGACCCCAAACCCTAAACCCCTAAACCTGTAAACTCTAAACCCTAACCCCAAAGCGCGAATAGGTAGCAGAGCTCAACAGGTCAGGGCTTATTCATGTCGGACTTCGGGCAGGGCTGAGTTCGGGCGCTGAGTCGTCGGTGAATACAAGGGTCTGGTGCTTAGTAGGGTATGCGGGAATGGATTATGGAGACTAATTTTGGGGATTACAAAATATAGGGACTATCGTAGGGATCCAGTCCCCCTAAACCCTCATCCCTTATGGTACCCTTATAGATCCCTTCAAGGAGCCCTACTTTGTAGGGTTCCATTCCCCCCTTCCCTAGTAAGCACCAGGAAGGATAAGCAGCTCCAGAGTTCGACAGAACAGGCTCTGCATGCTTTCCACTCCCTACCTGGACCCCAAATGAAAAGAAGTTGTTCATGGTTCCTTATAATCTGATTTCGGTAATTCGTTAAACATAAGTAGTCCTTGAAAAGTAGGTTCTGTGCGGTGAAAGTAAAACCTATATACACCAAACCCTAAACTTGATGAAAAGAGATCCTAGACCCTATAACAAGCCGAAAGCCAGAGCGAACACACACTTTTTTGTAGGCTTGGATCGCGGGTTACCCGGTTTTCATGGCGATCCATCTCCCAAGCCTGAACACTGAGAAAATGGATACATGAAAGCTTGCACCAACTAAGGAAACTGTGGCTACAAACCCATGCTTGAAAGTGCCTCTAGAACCCAAAAAGCCTCGAATCCTCAAACCGCAAGCGGTTTACATAACCCTGATTAGTCCTCTTCCATATCTCCGGGCCGAGGTCTCCGTTTTCATTCCAAGGATGAGGCTTGTCAGGCGCCTCCCCTCTTCGGTGGTTCTGAGTTGAGAATTCCAGATCGGGTTTGGGGATAAGGGGGTTAGCTAGGGTTTTGGGTTTCGGGCTGGTCCTTTGGGTTTAATCGTTGCTGTTCAAGGGCTTTGGGGTTACTGCTTTAGAGTTGGCCTTTGGCGCCCAGACGTAGAAAAAGCATAGGAGATTGCATTTCGGCTTTGGGATTCGAGGGTTGAAGCTTCATTCTATATTATTCATATCTATACCCATATACCTATTTCCCTACATATCTATATGTATACGCATATGTAGATGTAGATGCAGATCTGGATGTGTATATGTTTTTGCTTAATGTAATTATGTGTGCTTGTGTGTATGTTTATGTATGTATGTATGTATGTATGTATGTATGAGTATGTATGTGTGCGTATGTATGTATGTATGAATGTATGTACGTATGCATGCATGTATGTACGCGCCTGTGTATGCATGCATGGCTGTATGTATGTATGGCTGTATGTATGCAAGGATGTATATGTAAGTATTTATGCGTATGTATGTATGTATGTATGTATGTAACGTATGCATCTATCTATGTATGTATGTATGTATGTATGCGTATGTATGTATGTATGTATGTGTGTGTATGTATGTGTGTACATATGCATGTATCTGTTTATGTATGCCTGTATGCATGCATGTTTGTCTGTGTCTGCTTATGTATGCATGCATATGCATGTATGGCGCATGCAAGTAAGTATGTACAAGCAAGTACTTGTGTGTGTAGGTATTTACGCACGTGTGTATGTGTGCCAATGTATGTCTGTATGTGCGTATGTACGTATGTATGTAGGTACGTATCTGCGTATGTATGTATGTACCTAGGTATGTATGTATATGTGTATGGTACTTATGTAGGTACGTATGTATGTATGCAATGGTTCCCCAAAAAAGAGATGCATATTCAGGGGGAGTTGCGCATGCAGGGCATCTGGCTGGAGGACGGCGTGATTCATTTGCAGTAGGAACCTCGATAGGCTCCAACAGCTCTTTCAAACAAATGGTTATATAGTCTTCAAGCAAATGATTATATAGTCTTGTTATTGTACTGTTACCATCATAATTGTGAATACTCTTATTGTTACTACTTTTACAGTATTGCCGTTATGTTATTATTCTAGTTCCCTTTGTTTACCATGCCGGATTTTAGTGGCATGCCCCCCAAACGCGCTGTCCAAATCTTTCAGTGTCAAGTGTCCATACTGAGCCCAGAATCATAGACTTTAAGAGAAAGACATGACCTGCAAGGTTCTTGATGAAGCTGAGCAACGAGAGCGTGGTGGTCGAGCTCAAGAACAGCACCGTCGTGCAGGCATGGCGACCGTTCTTGGCCTTGGTTCTTACGCTCAGAAAGATCGCATGTAGATCTCAGTGTGTGTGTGTGTGTTCATGCATGCATGCGTGTGTTGCGGCAGGGGACAATTACGGGCGGCACCCTCAGTCCAGGATGTTACACATCCATCCTTTTTGGTTTTGGATTGTTGGTCTCTTTGCGTCCTCTGGGGTTCCCAAATTTTGTCAAACAGTCACTGATGTGGAGCACTCAAGCAACAGCCCGTGAGTTGTCGTAAGGCCTGTCTAGCAGTTCAAACTCGAGTAAGTGATGTCGTTACTGTCCTTGAGTCAGTTTCTCACTCTTGCATCTCCCGGCAGCGATTGAGGTGTCGACATGTCCATGAACGTGCACATGAAGAACATCAAGTTCACGGTGAAGGGAAAGCCGCCTGTGTCGATGGACCACCTGACGATCAGAGGCAACAACGTGCGGTGGCTCGGATGCACACCGAAAGCCGTGGCACCCCGTGAACCCTACAGGCTTAAACACGAGTGCAGAGACTCAGGAATATGTACAGTCTGCCCGGATAAACAATGGGAGTTTCTGAAAATTAGGATACCTTATTTGGGGGTCCCTGTAATAAGGATCTTACTATTATTAGGGTACTATATTTGGGTCCCCTTTTCGGAAACTCCCACATGCCTCGTGGGCATGAGCCACCTGGGCTACAAACAGGTTGACAAGCACCAATCCCTAAAACCCCACTTGGGGGGTCGGGGGACATAGTAACTGGTTATTTTAGGGACTTTTAAGTACCATAACCCCAATTAGGGTCCCTTTTAGGGTACTTATAAGTCTACTTACTAACTACTTACTAAGTCCCCGACCCCCCAAGCACCAAACCCTAAAGCCCCGCAGGTACGTCATCCTGCCGGACAGCATTCCCCTCGACACCTTGCTCGTGGATGATGCCAAGCGCTTGCCGAAGGTGGCGGTTTGAACTTCCTGAACCCTAAACCCCCTAAACCCCTAAACCCCTTAAACCCCCTAAACCCCCTAAACCCTTTTCATGGGAGTGAGCAGGGTGGGAGTCTCGCCTTACTGATAAGGCTCCTACATTATAGGATCATACCAGGATATAACCCCAGAAGCCCCATTCTATATATGAAGGCTAGTAGTAGTAGTAGTAGTAGTAGTAGTAGTAGTAGTAGTAGTAGTAGTAGTAGTAGTAGTAGTAGCAGCAGCAGCAGCAGCAGTAGTAGTAGTAGCTCCTACATAAAGGAACCCTGAACCCTAGACCGTCTTCGCCACTGCGAGGTCAAGTCTTTGGCTGGCCGGGGCCGTGGTAGGGGACGTGGCCGCGGCATCAAGAAGCTGGGCCAGAAAGCGGTTTTGGGCAACCATGAGAGTCCGGTTTAGGGCTGTCGGGCTTGGGGTTTAGGCTTTCGGGCTTGGGGGTTGAGGGCTTGGGGTTAAGGGTTTAGGGCTTTGGGGTTCAGGGTTTAGGGGTAGCTTGGCATATGTAGGCGGCAAACGGACGCCGATATCAAGATGCCTCCTACATCCACGTCCCCAACCCCAGAAAGCCGGCCACTTGACTCGCCTGCTACCAAGGAAGAAGTGAAGAAGTGAGCTCAGCGAGCCCTGGAGAACGTCAACGAAGGTATGGCACGGAGACCAGCCTGAGTATATCCGGTTCTGTCTTTGTGGTTTGTGCTAATTTTGGGCACGCAACTACAGAGGCTTGAATAATCATCAATATTATGATTCGTTCATGGTCCTTATAGAAATTAGACCGTGAAGGAGCCCAAATATGTCTGCATTACTATTTTGCTCAGACTGAAGAAAATGAGAGATGCCGCTGCAGTGAGAGGAAGATGCAGCAGATAGCAGGACCCACAGGGCTGAGGAACAGACCTGTCGTCCATTGAGCCTGTGCCCTAAGCTCAGATACATGTACATCCACGAAGTTTATATGTCCCCCGCCAAGCCCCACCAAAACCTCCAAGACTAAACATCTAAAAGGCTATGCTTCTACATACTGCTTTGGGGGTGTTTAGGTGTGCCCTAAGCCCAGCGGCTGAGCCTTCATTCAGATCGTCCTCATGATTTAGCGACGTGCGGGGTTTGGGGTTTAGGGGCATCGACTTGGGCTTGACTGAATCATCACACCACCGACCCCAAACCCCAAACCCTCAACCCTATCACCATTCTGATGTCGGAGGTAATTCTAAGTTGCAGTAGTTGCAAGAGCATCTTGAAGCCATTTCTGGCAGAGCTGGGCAGCTGGGCTCTTCTTGAATGCGGCGCCGCAGCGTATCTTGTGGACAAAAATCTCCGAAGGGTCCGAGTTACAATATAAGGGATCCTGGGGATCCTCTAAGAGTCCATGTGCCCATATCGTGTGTACTTTGAGTCACAGTACCGAATTATGCAGAAGAAGCCCTTTGAGGCCAAAGTACATAGTATGTAGGTGCACGGATCCAGGTTGGAGTTTTTGAATATCTCAATCGCAACACACGGATCCTTTGGGCTCATGGTGCGTACTCGACTAGAAGCCGTGCTTTCCAGCCGAAACACCGACTTGGGCAACCCTCCCTGCGCATGGTTTTCCGCTTGCCTCTGGCTCTACAGGAACGGAACAGCCGCTCATCTAGCAGGGTGCCTATGCAGCAGAACTTGCTACGACAGCCTATACAAACTCGTCTCAGCTGCCCAACATTTGCTTTAGTCTACTTCTCTGTAGACCTACCGGACCGCCACCCCTTGATACGCTGCCCTCAGCTTGTGGGGGCCTTGGACTTGGAGGGTCCGGGGTTAATTGAGTACGTGTAGGATTCTGGCAGGCCACCAAGGGTTTAGGGTTCAGGACTTAGGGTTTGGGGGTCTAGGATTTAGGGCTCAGGGTTTAGGACTTAGGGTTTGGGGTTTAGGATTTAGGGCTCAGGGTTTAGGGTTCAGGACTTAGGTTTAGGATTTAGGGCTCAGGGTTTAGGGTTCGGGGTCTGGTTTTTCGGATGTTCGGAGCCTGTTTTTCTGCAGGCCTTGGGGGCAGATCCAGGCTGCAAGGTTTCCTTAGGGGTACTTAGAAATATTCTTTACTTTTTTATTTGGTCATTATAATCCCTAAGAAGCAGCTAAAATTAGCATTTTTGCTTGGGTTCTAAGTCCAGTATAGTTTCGACGCAGCAACTTCATGGCCGAGGGTTAGGGGAACGCTCGCTTTTTCTGTCTGGTACTGATAGTAGGGTATGGGGGATCCCCAAAGGCTCCATGTACCGGTATAGCAGATACTTAAGCCTTAAGGGGGTCCCTATATAGGTACTTTAAGGCCTAAGCATATACTATATGGGGACAGGGAGCCTTAGGTACTGATAGCAGAAGCCAGAAAGTTGGAGCATTAGTATCCTCATGCCCTAAAGGTGAAGTCTAATAAGGGATCCTAGCCCTAATCCTCCTAAACCCATGTTCCAACTTTCTGGGATTCACTGTGGTAGGGAATGGGGGAATGGACTATGGAGACAACTATTTCTGGGGGATTATATTTGGACCACTGCAGGAGGGCTCCATTCCCCCTTACCCTACTAAGCACCAGACAGTTTTAGAAAGGGCGAGGGTCTGTGGCATGGAGACATGTACAGAAAAGACATAGGTCTACCGATCTGCCTATATCTACCTATCTCTCTACATACCTCTACATATATACATGCACATACATGCATACATACATACGTACATACATACATCGACATACATAATCCTAGAAAACGTACATGCGTCATATACTTGTGCACAGCATGTGCATGTTTCCCTGTTCTCACAATATGCAGCTGTCTGATATGGGCCTTCTTTGGTTTAAGCACATGTGAGCCTTCGGTGCAAAAGTGTGGAACTCTCAATCCTCCAAGAAAGCCAGCAGCCATGCAGGCTCTAAGCCGTAACCACATACAGAATTTCAGGGACATAACAAGGAATACTTAAGCCATGACGTAGAAACCTGCACCAAGCAAGAATGAACAGTCTAGAAAGGAAAAGATAGGGCAGCTAGGTTAGATAAGCTCCACCGAACCCAAGTCAAGATACCTAGACCCCCCAAAGTAGGTAAAATAATGGCCCAAAACCTATAAAAAGGCCATCAGTCTACATACTCTTGGAGTCCAGGTATCAGCAGACCGAAGTCTGAGAGTTGAATCTCTGCCCTTGCCGAGGATCTCATCGTTGCAGCCATGAGACTTGTGAGGCAGGGGAGCGCGATGAGTGGGAGGGTTTAGGGTTTAGGGTTAAGGGGAATTACCCCTCAGCCCTGAACAGGGACCGAAAAAGGCCGTAAGAACGGCGAGCTAGAACCCCGAAGAAGTTTCGCCTTCAGAACCTCTATATCATAGGAGGCCAAAAGGGGTTTTAGCCTATGGGGGTTTAGTAGGAATTAGGGTTCCCATAATAGGGTTCATACTGAGGAATCCCTACCCAAGAATCTTAAACCCCTCTTTTGGCGATGAGAAGGAGGGAGTCACCCCTAAGCGCTAAACCTAGACCAGGGCGTTCTTGCCAGTGGGAGGTCCTAAGTTAGGAAAAGTTCTTAACTCGGAAGGGCAGTTCTGAAGTGAGGCAGGGTGCGGAGCCTGTCGATTCAATAGCACTTGCAGTTGCGACTACTAGGCTTTAGAAGGGTTTAGGGTTCAGGAAGATGAGAACTTGAGTAGTTTCTGAAGCGATCGGACGACTTGGGCTCCTAAGTGTCTCAGAGCGCCGCCCCAAGATAGGGTTCAGGGGATTTGAGTATTAAGGGCTTAAGGTTTCGTCCTTTTGGGTTAGGGTTTAGGGCAGTTCAGGGTTTGGGGATCCCAGACCCTAGAGGCCGTTGTCCTCCAAGCCAGCTGCTCTGTTGAAATCTTCTTGCTTGAAGTGCCTCTGAAGGTCTCAGTGATTGACATGACGAGGGTTTCAATGTAAGTTTGTTTTTAAAACAAGCTCTATGTATTACCTAGCTCCTGGGTGGAACACCTAGGCTAGCATGCCCTAAGCCCTCTGCCAGGTTCCTGATGAAGCTGAGCAACGAGAGCGTGGTTGTTGAGTTGAAGAACAGCACTGTCGTGCAGGCCTCACTGCTGAGATCCAAAAAATATCGTCGCCTTGGCAATTGAAATTTGTGGTAGGGACCTAAATGACTACCTATACTATTTTGGAAGTTCCTTATTATAAGTATAGTATATTGGGCCCCAAACCCTACATTATTAGGTCGCGGTAGTTTAAGGAAGGTGCAGAGTGATGTTTTTGAAGAGGTTCCCAGACCACGAGTCCTTTGCATAAATGGGAGATTCCGAGAATTAGGGGTACCTTATTTTGCGGCCTTCATAATAAGGATCCCACTATTTTAGGGTACTATATTAGGGTCCCCTATTTTCGGAAACTCCCGAATGGGCTACGTGCAGACAGGTCTCTGTCCAATCCTGCCTTGTCAATTCAGTTGTCGGCGTGGAGCCTTCGAGCCCCTGAAGCGAGCGCGTTACTACTTTAGTAAAATTACCAAAACTACTTTCCGGGTTCCATAACATAGTTATAGTAGAACCTACCCCACAACCCTATTCTAATTGTTAATTAAGGGCCCTGTATGAACCCGCATGCTCCAGGCGAAAGCGGGATTTGAGAGTGTCGAGCCGTAGGGTTTAGGTTTGAGTCATGCCGGGTTACAAGTGCCACATCATCCAAGACGGCAGTATAGTTTCAGGGTTTACAACGCTGTGTTGCATTGCTGTTTGTGCGGTGTTTCGGGCCATCTGCATTTGTCTTGTCATTTAGACGTTTCTCTCATGCCGTTGTTGCTGCTTCTGTTGCCAAAACCGTGCAGCCAGGGTGACCCATAGCGACAGATGCCTCAACGTGCGCATGACACCCTTAGCCAACGAGCGAAGTTGAAAAGATGATGCCGGATCTCGCCATGCTAGCCCAGTCCCCTGAACTGAACCGGCAAGCCTAGACCCCAAATCCAAAAACTCTAAACCCCTAATTATATAAATCCCTGAAGCCCTAAGCAGAAGCACAAAGCACTTTATCACTAAACTCAGGTTTTAGGGTCTAGGGCTTAGGGTTTAGGGTTTAGGGTTTAGGGTCTAGGGCTTAGGGTTTATGGGTTTAGGGTTCAGGGCCCCTGAAGACCCAAGCTGCAACGCTTCCTGCGCCTTGCTTGCCAGGGAACGATTACCGGCCTCAGCCTCAGTAGCTCTTAAGCTCCTATCGATTCCTTTAAAGGGATCCTTTCAGGGATACTATAGGGGTACCATAGGGGTACTTTATGTAGGGTTTTAGGGCTTTGGGTTTAGGGCTGTATAGGGTTTTAGTGTCTTGGCCTTAGGGCTCTAGGGCTTTAGGGCTTATAGGGGTCAGGGTTTAGGGAAAAGGGTTTTGGGTTTTGGTTTGCGGATTGGTGTCTTGGAGTTTAGGGTTAAGGGTATTTGGATCCAAGATGCTGAACTCGCAGATGTAAGGCTTTTCATGATTATCTGGGAGCTATCGGCGTATCGATTTGCGGTTTAGGGTTGATGAGTTGTAGATGTAACAGGGTGTGTCCTGGGCTTCGGCATATTAACAGCTCAGAGAGAGAGAACGTGGATCTGGGTAAGGATATAATAGGGTCCAGCCTTTCGAATTTAGGAATCAGGTTTCCCGCACCGAGGTCTTGCCGAAGCAATACTGCTCATGTAACTGATATGCGGACAGAGAGAGAGAGAGAGAGAGAGAGACAGAGACAGAGACAGAGACAGAGACAGAGAGAGAGAGAGAGGGAGACAGAGAGAGAGAGAGAGAGAGAGAGATCCAAGCAAAAAAATGTCCGTGTGTCTTCGATCTGTGCCAAGGCGTCGACATGTCCATGAACGTGCATATGAAGAACATCAAGTTCACGGTGAAGGGGAAGCCGCCAGTGTCCATGGACCACTTGACAATCAGAGGCAACAACGTGCGGTGGCTCGGATGCAAGATCTCATACCTGCACCCTACAGAGGCTACCTTCTGGGACTATATGGGTGGTTGTCAAAGTTATGGTCCCTTTTGGGGTACCGATTATACTACGGCACCTAATATTTAGGGTACCCCAAAGGGACCCTAATTTTGACAACTACCCATATAAAGACATCATAACTGAACAAGGAACCATGGAACCATGAAAAGGTAGGTCATTTGGGGCCAAGGCAGGGCTTCCAGGATCGTAGAGTTCAGGTTGATCCCTGGAGAGTGAGTTTCAAGCGCGATCTGATTTGTAATTCGGCATCCAGCACTTCAAAACCGGATGCTGATCGGAATTAATGTCTGAACCTGATTAAGAAGCCTTGGGCCTTTATTAGGGTTCCTTATATGGATCCTACTATTTGGGGGGTTCTAGGACCAGGTTTCTTAATCAGGTTCCTACATTACAGCTCTCCAGGATTCCAGGAGTCTGCCGGGAACGCCCCAAATGGTTGACTTTCGCCTATTCCCGAGTTGGACTTTACTCAGACCGGCGGGCTACTGAGGCAAGGTTTAAGGTTTAGGGTTGAAGGTTGCGGTACAAGGGTTGCTATGATTTGTAGGTTCAAGGGTTAAGCCTCAAGGTTCCAACTTTCTTGCCGTCTCCAAGTTCGACGACCTAGAGAGCCAAACCTTTGGACTTGAGGTTCGGGTTTGGATGTAGGGTTTAGGCTTCAGGGTTTGGGGTTCAGGGTTTAGGGTTTTGGGTAAGTAAGTTCTTGCAACAAGTTGGTTTTGTCCTGGGAAAGACGGTGGGGGTCGTTTCCTCCGAATTACACTGATTATGCAGGCGCCTCTGACTTGGCGAAGATTTCTTAAAGTCTGAAAGATGCAGCCTCGGATAGCGTGATGTCCGCTCCCTCTACATCATGGCTTTTCCTGTTTCTAGTTGTAAGCAAGAGATGAAGCCCACCACCATCAGCATGAGGGCTCGTATCATGAGTTCAAGGTTATAATGTTCACGTCAGATCTTTTGTTTCTGCCGTGTTGCGGATCCCTGGTCCAAAGCTATAGAGCCACGGCATTCTTCCCCAGACACCACCCAAAGCCTCAAGACCCTCAACCCTAAAAACCCCTAAACCCTAAAACCCTGAAAACCCACCAGCGCCGTCAGGTATGTCATTCTTCCGGACACTTCGGCTTCCCTTGGCAAGTTCGCAGCAGAGACTCCAATGTCCCTTCATTAAGGGTTGCACCTTACATCATAATTAGGGAACCTTCTGTAATTTGAGGTAAATTCCTTAATTCAGGGGTATTGGAGTCTCTGGGTTCCTCTGGGGCTTCCATTGGCACGTTCCTTTGCCATATACCATGCCTCGCTTAGTTCATACATAAGGTAATGCAAGATGTTCAGCAGCCGCAGTTTTCCCGTTTGAGCCAGTTTTACGAAAGTAGAGCATGGGTCGGCACCTCTGCTTAGGCACCCGCAAACCCTTTCAAAAGACAGTTCAAACAACGCCTAAACCTCAAGCCCAAAGCTCAGGCCCCTCTGAACCGCCCTCAAAACCTGGAGATGGAAGGCCCGAACCCCAAATCTTGCAGCCATCAACCCTGAAGCCCAAGCCCTAAACCTCCGACCCTCTTCATGAAGCTATCTTCTAGCCTAGGATCACCCCAAGATTCGGCAGTGTTCGTGTCGTTCCCGTGAAGCTGCGAAGACAACCCGAAATCCAAAACCTGCAGTGTCTAAGCACTCAAGTGGACAGCATTCAACCCCTACGCACGACCCCTAAACTCTAAACCCTAAACCCTAAACCCTAAACTCTAAACCCTAAACCCTAAACTCTAAACTCCAAACCCTAAACCCTAAACCCTAAACCCTAAACCCCAAACCCCTGAAGCCCCCTTTAGGAGCCTTGTTGTTCCCACAGGGGCCTAGGTGATACTTCCCCAAATCATACTTTTCATTCCTCATATACAGAAACCCCCGCCTTTTACTAGACAGCTACTTGGGACCTTTTGGGGGTTGAATTCTCAAACCCTAAACCGCATACCGTATTCCATTATTATTATTATTTTTATGGCTATATTTATATAATCCCTAAACCGTAAATATATTGTGGCGGGCTCAACCAGCCCTGCGTGCGGAGCAGAAAGAGTCATTGCACTTTCAAAGAATTGCTATGAAGGACAGTATTCCCTTGGACACCTTGCTCGTGGATGACGCCAAGCGCCTGCCAAAGGTGCGCAGCTTAGGGCCATTGCTTGACATGGCCTCGCCGGTTCTTGGTTTTGGGATTTAGGGTTTTAGGGTTTATATAGTGTTTCGGGGCGACGAAGTCATCGGGTTTAAGCTTTCCTGGACCCCCAAAAGTATGTAGAACAGTGGCCTTTTAGAAGTAGTGCGCCATGAATTTTCCTGCTTTGGGGGTTTAGGCTTGGGTTACGACAGGAGATACTGCTTCATAGACGAGAAAAAAGCATCCACCCTTTGGCCCGGGAGGTAGGATGCTGAGTGGGGGTAGAAGCTTTGCGGCTTGCGCCTTTGGCTTGGAACCCTAAGCCCTAGCTTCCAAAATCCTGAACCTACACCTTGAGCCACTACACTGCCCAACACTCCCTAACCCTTGTAGTACCGCCTATAGCAACCATAGTTTGAAGAACCCCACAGCCGCTCAAGGCCCACTTTACACCCGACAGATCCTACTTAAACCCTAAAGACTCCGAAACCCCCAAACCCCTAAACTCCCAAACCCAAACTTAAGCCCCTCCAACTCCAAAACTGATGGATCCTAGGCTGGGTTCCGCAATAATACCCGTATTACCCTTATCATTGTGGGGGCTCCATCTTCAATCCGAACTACTAGGCAAAACAAGGCATCCTTGTTAAGGGGCTACTGGGGAACATGGTACGAGCTTTAGCCGACAAAATCCCAGCCAAGTCATCAACAGGTCAAGTCCTTGGCTGGGCGGGGCCGCGGCCGAGGACGTGGCCGTGGCATCAAGAAGCTGGGCTTACACAATTAGGGTCTTAAGGGGTTAAGGGGTTTAGGGTTTCAAAGGGGTTTAGGGCTTAGGTTAGGGCTCACAGTAGAAGCCAGAAAGTTGGAACATCGTTATCCTCATGCCGTTCAGGTAAATGACAGGGAATCCCAACTAATCATCCTAAATCCATGTTCCAACTTTCTGGATTTCACGATAGGGCAGCCCTAAGGGCTCAGGCCTCAGGGTCCGTGTGCTACATAGGTTATACGAGGCCTTTTGGGGCTCTGTATGCGTGCTCTAGGGTCGGTTTATATGCTCTGGTGGGTACATGATGTATATGGACCCCTGAGGGCAATCAGGGTGGTTATGGTCCTATGCTTTATCGGGTTTGGGCTGGATAAGTAAGGCGACCGAGGCGTTTGAAGGCTCCAATTAACCTGTGGTCAGGGGCTATAGGGTTACGTATTGCAGACACTATAGCCTAAAACGCTGGCAGCAACTATCTCAAACCCTTTATAATCGCTTTCCCCATTTATTTAACACAGCCTAACAATCAAGCCACTTTCCGAACAATCCACCTGCAACCATGTTTTGGATTGGAGGGTTGAGGAGCACAGCTGCCAGAGCAAGAGCAGGGACAAGGGCAACAGCAAGAGCAGGAGAGGGAGCAAGAGCAGGAACAGGAATAATAAGAGCAGTGGCGGGCACAAGAGCATGAGCAGATCCGTAATAACCCAAACCCTCATACCCCAAACCCATACCCTAAACCCTAAACCCATGAAGCTCTACTGCAGCTCTAAAGTCCTCAACTCATCGTCCTTAAAGCTCTTAAAATATAAGAGCCCAAAAGGACCGGTCCATGGCCCTGAAGACTTTCCCTAAGGGTCCAAAGGACCCGATAATTAGGGTTTATTGGGGCTTAGGGGTTTATAGGGGTTTATAGGGGTTTAGAGCTAGGGTCCAAAGGACCCGATAATTAGGTACTGGGGTTTAGGATAGTAGTTACGTAGGTTACGTTTTTGGAGAGTATATGATAATTAGGTACTTGGACCCTTAGGGTTTCAGCCCTGAGACACCAGTCTGAGGCCTCCAGTTGCCTAAGTCCGGGGTTATCTAGGTAGTGGTTTGGGATAACCTGTTTTTTTGCAAAAGATACGTCTTATGTCACCATTTTTTATTTTTTATGAAAGAGTTTGGCAAGAGAGCCCTAATTATGAATAATTTTGGGAACTGTTGAAATCGACACCTAGTTATTACAGTATTATAGAAGCCTTGAATAAATACCAGTACTCTTCTTTAAGCAGTCGCAGACCTAGGGAAACATGAGCCGGATCATGTGCTCCCGAAACCCGAAGACAGCAATTGCTGCAGACTCTCTCCCTTCCCGTTCAGAATTGCAGGTTTAGTGTTTAGGGGAATCTCTTCAAGAGCAGCATCGGCTTAGCTTCCAGGAACCCTACATCGAAATTGGAGCACCGAGCCGAAACCTTATGCGCCGAACACTCGAAATCACACAAAGATACCCCCACGCCCAATCCCTTACATCACGCGTCATCTTTCAAGTTGCTATGGCTTTCAACCCAAAGCCCCGTAAAGCCTTCCTGAACCCGTGAGCCAAGTAAAGCTTTCTAGCCCAGGAAGAAGTGAGCCGTGTGTGCACGGCGCACAGAGTTTTGATAAGGGGCTGGCTTGGAGATTAGTCTGAGCGTTGCGATTTGCAATATCTCTTAAGGTACCAGCTCTCATGGTCCATGTCAACTGCTTTGAATGTCCGTGTAGTCCTCGTTTCCGGTTGCTATGTTAGAGACCTGTGCGCGCACATACACGCTCATATATATATATATATATATATATATAGCATCCGAATGTACACAATATAAACGTGACTAAGTAAGTATATCAACAAATGAACAACTATGTGTGTACTAGTAAAGACACTTGATATGACACATGATAACTGATAACAAATACAGATACATAAGAAAGAACGAAAGGAATGTTTAAACAACGAAAGAAGGATAGAACGAAATAAATAAAGAAAGCCAGAGCTAACTATAGAAATACATAGCAACTAGTAACTAAATAAATACAGATAATGACAAAGAAATATGTGTATATATATATATATATATATTTGCACATGTTCATACGTGCGTACATACCCATGTACTGCGACAGTGTAGATCGCCAAACAGTGATACAGCACTACGGCAACCACCAAGACGACCACTACCTGGACGGACGTCCACGGCCACGACCACGACTACCACCACATCAAAGGAGAACATCAGGAGACCACCAAGCGGGCACCAGGGGGCCACCAGGAGACCGACCACCCAAAGACATCCAGGAGACTACCAGGACACCAGCAAGAACCCCTCGACCAAATTGCTTCTTCCCATATGCTGCCGGGGTGCAGAGACGCTTCGACCATGGTTGGCGGGCTCCAGGATCACGGCCACACCACAATGCTTCCCCCATGCCGTGGTGGATTTCAGAACCATTGCCAAAGTGCTTCCTCACAGATACACAAATGCATACACGCATACATGCAGGTACAGCGTAGTAGTAGTAGCAGCAGGAGTAGCAGTAGTAGTAGTAGTAGTAGTAGTAGTAGTAGTAGTAGTAGTAGTAGTAGTAGTAGTAGTAGTAGTAGTATTTGTAGTCGTAGTGGTAGTGGTAGTGGTAGTGGTAGTGGTAGTGGTAGTGGTAGTAGTGGTAGTGGTAGTAGTAGTGGTAGTGGTAGTAGTAGTAGTAGTAGCAGCAGTAGTCGTAGTACTAGTAGTAGTAGTAGTAGTAGTAGTAGTAGTAGTAGTAGTAGTAGTAGTAGTAGTAGCAATAATAATAGTAGTAGATTAGATGTAGTAGCATCAGCAGCAGCAACACATATGTGTTTTAGCATGTACTGTTCGTATCTACTTCTAGTACCTGTGCCATTTTCAACAAATCTTACGGCAGATTGTGCGCTGCTGTTGCTGTTCCGTTTTTTACATGAGCCCCAAATTTGTCATGGTTCTGGTCGCGCTCTTACGCTGGTCGAAGTACGAACTGTCATGTCTCTTGTTCTGCTATTACTGTGCCTCTCAACGTGATCACTGCTATCACGGTCAGTACTGCAAAAGTCGCTGATGCTTTTTCAGGAAGGCGGTGTCTCTTCCTTTTACAGGCCACGCAGTAGTACAAGGTAACTATGTCGTCTACGGGTGTTGTGTTCTGTGCATGTGCATATACAGGTATGCATGCTACATACATTTCATGCGTAAGGATTTGTGTACAAATGTGGCTAATCAAGTATTTATGCACCATAAGATGTACTAAGATACCGATGACATGCAAGACAGACTTGTCCCACAAAGTCAGTATGATCACTCATGTTGGACGCTGATGTATCTGCGGCGCTCAGACTAGAATTGGTAAGAAGGCACCACAGCTAGATAGGCTGTGCTTCGGCAGTAAACGCCCGAGATCTGCAAGGGCTGAGGAGCAGCTCCTGCAGGCAATGGTTGGAATCATACTTACACCTAAATACCCAAAGGCTCCAAAATAGTTGCTCTTTCGGGTTCATATTTAGAATTCTAGAAGGTAATCCCAACTAGAGGAACTATTATGGGGCCTATGGGTACAGCTCAACCCTATTTGGTGACAGGCAAATGCGCAGATTATGGGCACTAGCAAGAACATGCAGTAGTGGTAGTCCTGCTGGGAAGCGAAGAACGGCCTAATGTTTGGCATGTCGGAATCCGAGGTGAATATCAGACCCTAAGCCAAGGACCACTAACCTCCTCAACCCCTAGACGGCCCTAAACCCCTAAACCCGAAACCCTTACATCCTCACCCTGAACCCCTAAACTATCAGGCTCAACCGCTAGAAACCCCTAAACCCTAAACCCTTCCATCCTAAGACCCTGAACCCCAAACCCCTAAACTACCAGGCTTCGGCTGTAAAGTTGGGAGGGTGTCAGTACACGTGAGAGCGCTAGTGCCATACAGGAGGTGCAGCTGTGCCGGTGCACATATGAAGTCAAACAGCAGGGCGACGCGGACCTTATTGATCTCGATAACACGGCTTATCGTGCGCGAAAAAGGTTTTAGGATGAAGGGTGTGAGAAAGCAATGTCTAAATCCTAGATTCCTGGAATCTTCAGCCCTTGCGAGCCTCGAAACCTTGTTTTCCTGAAGCCCTCAACCCTCAAACTCGAAGCCGCAAAGCCCTGAAGCACTTTTTTTTCTGCAATGCAATGCGATCTTGGCAAAATGC